TATATGGCGTCAAGGGCATAGATGCTGTGTTGTCCGGATCTCCGCGTCATATATGGCGTCAAGATTCTGTGTCGTCCAGTTCTCTGCGAATACAACGTGTGCATGCACCAGATTCGCCAAAGCATAACCTGCATTTAGTGTGACGCTTGCCGATGGGTGCCAAATGCCCCGTGTATCGTGTCCTTCCGATGGCGGAGTGTGAACTGTGACGTTTCCGATGGTGGCGCCGTGTGGCGAGCTTGGCTGATGGCCAAGTGTGACGTGTGGTGGGTTTTGCACAGTGTGGCGTGTTACCCAGCGGCCGAGTGTGACACGTGGTGGGTTTTGGGCAGTGTGGTGTGAGCCGCAGGTGGCCGATTGTGGACATGGTGGTGGGTTGGGCACAGTGTGGCGTGTTACGCCAGTGGCCGAGGTGACGTGTGGTTGGGTTTTGGCACCGTTTGACGTGTGCCGCAGGTGGCCGAGTGTGACATGCGGTGGGGTTTTGGCACAGTGTACGTGTGCCGCAGGTGGCCAAGTGTGACATGTGGGTTTGACACAGTGCGACGTGTGCCGCTGGTGGCCGAGTGTGACATGTGGTGGGTTTTGGGACAGTTGTGACGTGTGCCGCTGGTGGCCGAGTGTGGCGTGTGGCGAGCCGCGGCTGGTAGCCAAGTGTGAGACGTGTTACACCGGTGGCCAAGTGTGACGTGTGGGTTTTGGCACATGTGTGACGTGTGCCGCAGGGTGGCCGAGTGTGACGTGTGGTGGGGTTTGGGACAGTGTGACGTGTGCCGCAGGTGGCCGAGTGTGATTGTTACGACGCCGTTGGCCGAGTGTGACGCGTGGTTGGTTTTAGCACAGTGCGACGTGTGCCGCAGGTGGCCGATTGTGACGTGGAACTGCGGCTGTGACCCGGACTGTGGCCAGCAAGACCGGCCGGGGGCCTTCTCCCGCCTGTCAGGCGCGACCCTCCATATAACTCCAGGTCAGTCAGAAGGCTAGTTGTAGCGCATGGTTATCATCTGGTATGTGCATTTGCGAATGGTTGGAATGACTGGCAAGCTGGAGGTCACCTTATTTGATCGTGCAAATGGGATTCCCCGGGCATGGTAGTTGACGATAATGGATGGAGTCACACTAGCAAAATGCCGTAAATGGTGGATGATGTTCGGCCAACCAAATACACAATTTCGGTCCTTCGTTTAAGAAGTTGTAGATCCTCTGTCTGCTGTTCAGACTGATTGGACTTTGGATGTTAACCGGCGACCTCTGCGGGGTTTAAAAGTGAAGTACTTTCTGAGTTTGTAGACCAACATCCGCTCCGGCTTTTGGATGTTAACCGGCGACCTTTGCGGGGTTTAAAGGTAGCCTATTTTCTGAGCTTGTAGACCACCATCTGCTCCGGCTTTTGGATGTAAACCGGCGACCTCTACGGGGTTTAAAATTAACCTACTTTCTGAGTTTGTAGACCGACATCCGCTCCGGCTTGTTTCGCTAACATTTGAACCGTTCCAGCTAGGTTCAGGAACATCTGAATTACCTGCCAGGTGATGACTGAACACATTCTGGGGTGGGGCATTTTGATTTTAGGTAAGGCACAGAATTAGGACGTTTTTTTGGAGGTTTCAAGCTATGCCTTTTCTTACGTGTCGTTTTTCCCTCTTGTTTATAATCATTTGACGTTTCATGCCTGGTTTCACTATGTGCTGGTCTGGATTGGTTCTGCTATGTGAGTTCACACCAGGTCATCAGAAGGGTTGGTATGGTGCGTTTGAGGTTAACTTATGTGTTTAACCAACTATTTGTAGCGCCCGTTCGTGATAAACAATTCTGTATAAATTACACATTTTCAAACTATCGATGACAAGAGGTCAGGCGGGTCGGAAGAACAGAACGAACTTCGAATGATGACCTAACCTGGACTTTACCTTAACCCGACCCCTTGCAATGGCATTCGGCCTCCGCCAACGTCCCGATGCTGTGCTGAAGCGTACGAACGCGCTGCTTTGTTTGGCCTCTGTAGGAGCTCTGTGCAATCATAAGTACGGATCTGAGGGAGCTCTGAACTCGTGCGAAAACGCTGTCAGCTGCTGAGTTGTGCTGCGTTTTCTGTGACGTCATCGGTCACGTGACATACACCTTTGGTCCGTGGGTGAGTTTGACGGGGTTATCGATTGTTTCTTGAGTTTGCCGAGCTGGGAATTAGATCTTGATAAGCGGGGAACTGGTTTGAACCTGCCGTCGGTCGCGTGCGGCGACGAATCACGGCTGGCAATCATGGACGCGTGCATAATGGGCGTGGTAGGAACTGTGGCTTTACTTTAGGCCATAAGGCTACGGTAAGGTCAACAGAACAAATAAGTGCAAAGGTGGTCATAGTTCCGCTGCTTTGTGTCCGTTGAACATGGCTAACTGCCATTCAAAAGTAATTTTGCCTCCTGGAACAAATACAAACGGGCCATGTCTTTGGTGGGTCCAGTTCTGTGGAGTAGTCCTCGGCGCAGCGAACTGTTTTTGGTCAGTGTTTATGTGTTCCAACCTCTGTAAGGGGCACTGGAGAGATATTCCTCTGCGATGGAATTCGAGCATGCAACGTTTATCACTGCGTTTAAATATTTGCGTTCACTTAGCCATTTGGAGATAAAATATCGACTGCTTGCAACATCATGACATAGTACGTGAAATACCTAGCGAATCCGCCGCGGCATAAGTCGTGGCAGCCGCCTAGAAGATTGCGGCACTCGTCATACGGGACCGGGCTATCAGAGTTGGAAGCGCTGGCATGGTCTGTAAGCTCTCGCGCAAGGGGCGAGGGCCGCTGCACGTTGGCCATGTGCGGCACTGCACGCCGCCAGTCTCCAGGCGGCGCAGTAGAGCGCGCGAACAGGACGCCGGAAACGGCGAGTGCACTGGGGCTGAGGTCGAGCGTGCGCTGTCTCCCCGGAGACGGAAAATCGCCAGGTTGCGGCCACGTAAACAAAACCGAAAAAGAGCCGCGTGCCCCTCGGCACTCGTCCTGGTCACGCCCCTGGCAGCGGTCGGGCCGCGGTCGTCGTGCCCGGGTACATAAACTCGGCCGGCGCGCCGCGGGGCCAGCGTGCCGGGCAGCTGCGGCGGCGCCGACTGCTGCTGGTCCGTCCTCGCGCGCGATGCCGCGTTTGTTCGGCCGCGGCGGCGCGGCGGCGTGCCTGCTGGTGGCGCTGTGCCTGGCGGCGCGGTGCGGCGGCGGCGGCGCCGCGCCGGCCGCCAGGCGAGCCGTCGGCCATCTGGCGGCGCGGCTGGACGGCCTGCAGACCAAGCTGGCGGACAGCGCCGAGCTCACCATGCAGCTGATCGACGGGCAGTACGAGTTGGCGGCCCAGAGCGCGGGCCTGTCCGACCGGCTGGCGGCCGTGCAGGCGCGGCTGTCCGCGCAGGACGTCGAATTCGAGGCGGCGCTGCTCGACGTGCACACTGAGCTGACGGCGCAGCACGCGGCGCTGCGGTCGCGCCTGCTGGCGCGGCAGGCGGAGCTGGCGGCGCTGCTGGAGGCGGCCGGCGATGATCTGGCCGGCCGGCTGGCGGGCGCGCGGGCGCGGCTGGCCGGCCGCATCGCCAAGCTGGCGTCGCTGCTGGCCGCTGTGCAAACCAAGCTGGCGTCGCAGCTCGGCGAGCTGTCGGAGCGGCTGGACGGGCGCAGCTCCGAGTTGACGGCGCGCCTGGTCGATGTGGAGAGCGAGCTGACCACGCAGGTGGACAGCCTGCTCACCGTCCTGCTGTCGCGCAACGCCGAGGTGATCCAGCGGCTGGCGGCCGGCTACGCCGCGCAGCAGGGCCAGCTGGACGCGCGCGCCGACGAGGTGGCTTCGCGCTTGGCCAGCGGCAAGAAGGACCTGGCGGCGCGGCTGGACGCCACCCAGACGCTGCTGGACGCCCGCACGGCCGAGCTGGCCGAGCGGCTGGACTCGCGCACCGGCCGGCTGGACGCGCTGCTGACGCAGGTGGACTCGCGGCTGGGCGAGCTGGCCGCCGGCGTCGGCGGCGCTCGCTCGCAGCTGGTGTCCCGGCTGGAGCAGCTGCGCGCCGAGCCGGCGGCGCGCGACTGCAGCGACCTGCCGGCGGGCGCCGCCAGCGGTGTCCACCTGCTGCGGCCCGGCCTCGACCGCCCGGTGCCGGCCTACTGCGACCAGGACGCGGACGGCGGCGGCTGGATAGTCGTCCACCGGCGCGCGGCCGCCGCGCCGGCGCTCAACGTCTCCCGCGGCTGGGAGGCCTACAAGTGGGGCTTCGGCCAGCTGGACGGCAACTTCTGGTGGGGCAACGAGCGCCTCTGGGCGGCGACGGCGCTGCTCGACCGACGGTACGAGCTGCGTGTGGACCTGCGGGACGCCGACGGCGGCACGCGGCATGCGCTGTACCGTCGCTTCGCCGTCTCGTCGGAGCCGGACGGCTACCGGCTGACGGTAGCAGACTACTCGGGCGACGCCGGCGACGCGCTGGGCCGGCTCTCGGGGCGCCGCTTCTGGGCCGGCGGCCGGGGCCGCGGCGGCAGGCCGGGCGGCAGGCCGGGCGGCTGCGCGGAGGAGGCGGCCGCCGGCTGGTGGCGCGCCGAATGCGCGGGGTCAGGGGATGAGGCCCATGATGAGAAAGGTGCGGTCTCAAAGCGGAGCGATGGAGGAGTTTGGACGGCATGGACGGACGCCTCACTAAAGTCAGTGGAGATGAAAATTAGGTCCGTGGGGGCATCTTCGTAGACGGGCCCAGTAGTCGTTTGGTTTGTACCACATTGGTGTTTGACATAGCGAGGTACTGGATTTCTGAAAAATTGAAGTAGTTGTGCTCTGTCAAAAAGAAGGTCACGTTTACGTTATCTACCAATAAAGACGTCTTAAAGAGAAATGCAGCGCTGAAAGGAGAACATCATCCATAAGACTAGATGCGTTTTTATATTATGTGCATTGCGTCTTACATGTGGAACACGGAAGTTAGCGTATATAATATCCTTGAAAGATATTGCGTATGAGAGGAGAGGTGGCGAAAGGTGCGCTGCTGCGGATAATGCGTGTTGATGATATGCATGGAGCAATGGAAAGAAAAGCCACGGTCTGTGTGACAGTGGATATGAAAAGACTGAACTGTATCTAGATATGTGCGACTCAGCACTCCTGTGTATCTACTGACGTACAGTGCCATTGTCTGAGTGTTGTCAAATATATGGGATAACTCGCATAGATCTCATCCTGACAAGTAAGCTTTTTTACCTGACGTGTAAGCTATTTTTTGCCGGGGTGCCGGGGTGCTGACCACAAAGCAGGATGATTTCCTCTTGTGCTGAACAGCTGACATCACAATCTGTATGTCTTCTCTTCAGACGAGCGGTACTGCCTGCAGTCGGACCTCATCTTCACCAACAACACTGAGGCCAGGCTAGAGCGCGTGCAGGGCGGCCTCTTTTGCATCGTCACCGATAACCTGATCACCAGGAATAGCTACCAGCCGGTGAAGGTGCGGACGCATGCCGTCGGCGGTCCGCATGTTGAGAAAGGGGGGGGGGGGGGTCGGTCGGTGTTCCTGCGAAAGTCCTGTCGCCTTGCGGCGACCGGTGGTGACAGGTAGCTGTCGAGCGGGCGACCAACGATGGAGAGGGATATATATATATATATATATATATATATATATATATATATATATATATATATTATACATATATACATATCTGTGTTTAACAGAGCATTCCCTCTCAGACCTTCGGGTCTACTTATAGTAATTATGTATGTACATCATGTAATGTGAATGCATGTGCTGATAGTCGTCGGTTTTCGACTAGAGTTGAGTATTGGTGCTGCCGGCCACCGACAGCAGACTTGTGTAAGAAGACGCTGCCGTTGGGCGTGATTCAACCAGTGCAGACTGCGTGTGTTTATATCCGGTCATAGATCACACCAGATGGACCTGTCATCGGACGACTCTCCTGCTCCAGTAACGTGATAGATCGCAACGGCGTCCTGGCGGTTGAGCATGTCATGCCACATGAGCCGTCTGCTAGCCTGCGTGACGGGCCCGTCAGCGACCGTCGTCGTGACCGTCGTGACCTGTCCAGCCGGTGTCGACGTCGGCCGAGTTTGACCGGCTGCTGGCGCGCCCCATGCGGCCCGGTCCGTTCGGCTGGACGGTGGAGACGGCCCGGCCGCCGCCGCCGCCCGCTACCGACCGCTACCGCAGCGGCGACCTCATGTGGATCACCAGAGCCGGCCAGCTGGCGCCGTGGGGTAGGTGGCCGCTCGCGGGCCGCAGCCGGTGCCCGTCCGGTGGATGGCCGCTCGCGGGCCGCAGCCGGCGCCGAGGGTGGGGCGTTACGGTGTCCGTGCGGTAGGGGCGTGGCCAGGGTCGGTGGTGGGATGGGTGTCGCGGACTCCGCCGCAGGTACAGCTGCAGGCCACCTTGCAGACTTGCGCTCCCGGGTACTGGAGCCGTGCGAGGATGAGCAAATGATGGTAATGAGTGTTGGCCGGAAAAGAAGGCTATGAGAATGGATTGCATGCATGCTCAGGTGTTAACGATGTGGGACTCGGTATCATTTTGACAAAATATTGCATCGGTTGACCCGGCAGCAAATCCGTGTTTTGTTTTTGCTTTTTGTTTGTTGTTATTTTTGTGCTACATGGCCCAGGCCAGGTGGTCATGCAGTATTGTGAAGGAAGCTGGATTGCCGTGGGAAAAGGCTTAGAGCATGATACGATTCGAAGCTTGATAGCATTTCTGGAAACAGCTTCGCCGTACAAATGCAGAGCAGCTGCATTTATACAGGATTGCCACTTCTCACCTGCATGGCATGGTGATGGGAAATAAATCGCCGCGGAAAAGCGAGCAAATTCAAACTGGTAACTGAAGCACATCACAAACCCAACGCATCACACACAAACCTCATGTGGGTCCCTTGGGCGCAAAATGGCCGCAGTAGTCCGCGTGACCTCAAATCTAAATTATGATCATGTCTTGTTCCTTGGTGTATGTGATCGTTTTGCTCTCTCGCCCTTTTAACGCTATAGCCCTCGGTGCGTCCCAAGGCCCAAATCATCATCTAATGCCATAGCCTTTTAATCGCATCAGGTGCCTGTCAGCTTCTGAAACGCTGTCGGCCAACGGCGCCTCGGCCGCGGCCTTAGGTCCGCCTGGCCCGGTCTCTGCTGACCGCCCCCCCCCCCCCCTCCCGGCAGTGCTGCGCTGGCCGGGCCCCGTGTCGGCCAGCGGCGCCTCGGCGGCGGCCGTCGGTCCGCCTGGCCCAGTCTCTGCTGACCGTCCCTCCCGCCCGGCAGTGCTGCGCTGGCCGGGCCCCGTGTCGGCCGGCCTCTGCGACGGTCGGCGGCCGCTGCGTTTCCTGCGGCCGGCCGCCGCCGACTGCTGGCTGCTGGCCGACGGCGCGCGGCTGGCGCCCCTCAGCGGGCGCGCCCTGCACGACCGACTGTGCCTGCTGGCCGTGCCGGACGCTGAGGCGCTGCAGGTGACGACCGCGGCGGGGCGCGTCCGAGGCGGGTGTTTGCGGGCGGATGACTGCGGAGGGCCTGCACGCTGCCGTGCTCCACGGTCGGGGAACGTCCTCGGGTGTTGCGTTGTGTCACACGGCATGACATTGTCTTTGGGTGTTGTAATGTGTTACAATGCTGTGCGGATGGTGTATGACATCACTTTGACACGAGTCGTTGCTGTTGATCGGGGGGGGGGGGGGGGATGGTGAGGGGCAGCCGACCTAACCGGAGGTGATCTGACCTGACCCGGTTCTCGCTTGGCCAGGAGTCGGGTGACCTGCAGTGCGAAGCATCGCCAGAGCCGTCGGAAGAGGCCACGGAGCGGCCGGCGTCGGCTCTCGTGCCTGTGCAGCCGTACCTCTGCTCTGATAAGGGTGACTGTCGCCAGGTGAGCTCGCCGGGTAGGGGCGGACCGGAGCGCGTCGGAGGAGGTGCTGAAGCGCTGGTGCCGCCCCGTCCTTGTCGGGGCCTGACAGCCGCTGCCGACTCCGTGGCTGGTGTCATGCTGACACAGCATGTTTGTTGCCTGCTTACGCAGCGTTTGTTCGGGTAGTTCAGGTCAGAGCCGAGGTACTGTCCAATAGTATGCCGCCGTTGGGTCGTTGCACTGCCTCTACATCGCCGGCCATGCTTCCATCGCCGCCGTCTCACTGCTACAGGTGTCGGCGGCGCCGGAGCCGCGGCTGGCCGACGACCGCGTGCTGGACGCCCTCGTGTCCGCCCGGCTGCTGGTGGAGCAGCGCGCCGGGCGTGTCTCGGCCGTGCGGCTGGAGCTGGTGCTGGCGACCGTGGCGCGCGGCGCCGCTGTGCGCCAGCGCCTGGCGCTGGAGTTTGCGCGGCCGGGCGCGCCGCCGCCGCGCCGCCGCAGCGGTAACCCCGGCTACCAGCGCGGCCTGCCGCTGCTCGCGGCGCGCCTGGCGCCCGACGTGGACGGCGCGCCGCCGCGGCCGGAGCCGATCAGCGGCCAGCCGATCCTGCTGCCCTCTCCCGGTCGCGGCGGCGGCTGCAGTACCGACCGCCGCCGCTGGAGGCCGCTGGCATTCGGCGTGGACGCTGTGGTCGGCTGCCGGCTGGAGGCGCCCGGCGGCGACTGCGCCGCGCTGCAGCGCCGCCTGCTGGCCACGCTGCTGGCCGGCCTGCCCGGCAACGCGTCCGACTCGGCCGTGGCCGCGCTGGGCAGCGCGCCGGACGCTGGAGAGTGGCTGCCGCTGCTCGGCGGCCCGCCCGAGCCGTCCCCGGAGCCCACCGCGACCGGCTGCCGGGGCCTGCTGGCCGCCGCGCGCTGGCAGGTGGCGTTCGCGCGCGCCGGCGCCGCCTGGCGGCCGCAGGCGCGCCTCGTCGGTGTGCACCTGAGCTTCGGGCGGCCGGCGAGCGTGCGCGCGGCCGCCGACGGCCGGCTGGCGGTGACCGTCACGAGCGCAGTGACGTTCGTGGACGTCACACGGCCGGCCGTGCCGCAGTTCGCGCAGCCGCCGCGCGTCGACATCAGCCTGCCAAGTGACTTCTTCTACCCGTTCTCTGCGGGCGCGGCCGGCCGCGTGGCGCCGTCGGCGCCGGCGGCGCTGACTGCATCACTGGCCGGCTGGCTGGCGATTCACCGATCCGGGTAGGGCCAGCTTCTGTGGGCTCGGGGGCTTAGAAGTGTCGCCTCCGCGTGCTCCGGTGCGGACACAGCCGCCAGAGAAGACGCACGGGCTGGCGGGAAGGTGTGAGCCGTGGCGGGAGTAAGTACGGTCGGTATGTGAAGTGAACGGATTCCGTCCAGCTGGTGATCTCGTCCCTCTAGTCTAACTCGACTCGCTGCGACTGTCCGCCCGTCGTGTCGGTGATTTGGTCCGCCCGAAGGAAACGGTCTTGCGCTCTAGTCGGTCAAATAAAACATTGTGGATGTAGTTCGGTAGCGTTAAACGGGTATTTGAACGGCATATCCAACCTCACCTAGAGTAGATGACCTCACACGACATGCGATCTCATTGAAACCTAGTCGTTTGCAGTCCCACTGAAACCTAGTCGCTCGACATCGTCGCACTTTTTGTACGTTTTGTACTTCGACGTTGTCCTTGCACGTCCCTAGTGTTGCACGCTGGCGGTTGTTCACGTGGACAGCACCGTCTGGCACCTCGCCTATGTCACGTTCAGCCACCTGTTCACCTGGACAGGAAGCATTCCCTGCTGCGTGGGCGCCAGTGTGTTGTCACTTCACGAGTTGTATGCTTCCTGTTCATAAATACACGTGCTTCGTCCCTACCTTGTTTGCATCGCGTCGATGGCGTTTGTGCCGACCTTTCCTCGGCAGTGTTACTGAGTTTTTCGTTGTAGTGACTTCTTTGCGGCTTGATTGCGAGTAACTGCAGAGACCGCACGGTCTATTTCACTGTTAATGCTGCCCTTTGGTCTGTGGAAAGCGTGATGCTCACTCAGTGTGGAGGCACATCAGTTTGTATGTCGGTGTTCCAACGACTGGGGTGTAGGTTTGCGACTGCCATTTCGTTCTTGGCTGTGTTTCATTTGGGACTAAAAGTATGTCGTTGACTTTTTCTAAATCATCTTTGATGAGGGGAATTGTAAGGAAAAAAGGAACGATGATTTCCGGAGAGTATCAACTTCGCCTAAAAATACCGGAGGTCGTGAGGTTAGTGCTGCCAGCGTGCGCCGCGACCCATTGTTTTCCACTGATATTGTCCCTCTTGGCAGCCGACATGCCAGCGTGGCG